TGTCTTGTTGCAAGATGGGATTGGTGGTTTGTATGTCAATATTCCAGAAGATGCAGACATTGGTAATAAGGGAGAATGGGTAGAGATCCCTCCGATTCCAGGTGCTTTGGTCATCAACGTCGGCGATTTGTTACAGGTTCAAATCAAAATTTTGATTGAAGGTCTTTTTTATATTAACGACAAAATCAACGTGAAAAAAATTAAATAGAAAACAAAATAAGAATCTTATACTTAGTTATCGTGTTTTTAATTAATTTGTGTTTTTTGTCTACAGATATTAAGCAATGGAAAGTACAAAAGTGCAGAACATAGAGTTCGTACAACAAGTACAAAATCAAGGGTGTCAATACCAATATTTACAATTCCAAAACCGACGGAGAAGATTGCACCACTACCTCAAGTAGTAGAGAAAGATGGAATTGCTCTTTATAGAGAGTTTGTGCTTGCAGATTACATGAACAACTTTTTTACAAATCCACACGACGGAAAAAAGTCCCTTGATTTTGCAAGGATTTAATTCGGCTTGATGCAGAAAATTCTATATGCCAAAATGTAATCTTGAGTTATGTTTTTTCGTTTGGTGGTTCTTAGATATTTCATCTCATGCCCAAGTTTGAAAAAAAAAGAAAAATAATGTACACACTCTTGCATCTCCATCGAAAATTGTCTGGTTATGGATTCTAGGCAAAGAGTGGAAAATTTATAAACTTCAATGAATAAAACCCAAATTGATCATTAATTTTTTTTATTATTCTTAAGAATTTTTATTTTTTTTTTATACATGTAATGTTTTAGCTATATATTTAGACGTAGTCCTATCCAATTTCGTAAATCCACTCTCCTCATTTCAAAAATTTGAATATGAAATCTCTAAGGTAAATTTATTATGTCATTGAATAAAGAATACAGTTTCATTTCAATTTAAGTTTAAAATATAAAATTATTAATATAAACAATTATTTTTATTATGTTAATAAGATAAATATGGACTCATTGACATGACTTGAGCTTATTTCACAAAAAAGTCAAATTAATAAACTACTCAGATTCACATAAGTTGACCTACAAATACTTCTATTAACAAGCACCAGTAATTATTAACAAAAGAAGAATTCATGCTAATAAAAATTAGTGCATCGTACAAATTGTCTTCTGCACTTGCTTTTCTGTTTATTAAGTCAAATAGTTCAGTTTCTAGTTTTATGGGTAATAGATTAGTAGTAAGATTTTCTATTATATCAGTAATGGATTAGTGATAGGATTTTTCTATAAGTAGCTGGAATATTTTTTGAAGATTAGTAATAGTAGGTCATGCCTTTATGTATGTTCTACATCTGATGTAATTAGTAGAAGTGGAATAGAACTAGTTTTCTTTTTCTCCAGAGTTCCTCATTAGCTTTCCTATTTAAACTTTATATATTTTCTTTCTCTTTTTTTTTTTTTGTTTTATGCTATCAGAGCCTGATTAAGGCACTTTTACTGTTCTTTCCTTCTTCTTGTTTATCAAGCTGGTCTTGTTGGAGGAGGTTGAAAGTTGTGGAGGGGAAGTTTCTTGCTCTAGAATATGGAGTTAGCAAATGGGGGAAATGATTTAAATACCTAATATGGTTTAAAGAAGCTTGTAGGCACAAATTATTAATACCGGAGAATGTGCATGGAGGCTTATCTCTAAGGCCAAGACTTGTGGGAATTAGTTGTTGGTACTGATGTAGAAATTCGTGCAGATACTCTAAAAAATACTAAACCAAGAAAGAAATGAAAAATTAAGTGTGGTAAAGCTCTTTTTTTGTTTTAATTGCATTATCAATACTTTATCTTTTTGTGCTGAGTTTTAAGGTTGATAGTCTAGCAAGCTATGGGTTAGGCATAGTAAGATAATTCTCCTTTCTGTAAGTTGAAAAGATGTTGTTAGGTAATTTAATAGAAACTCTTTTTTTAGGAAAATTAAGTCTATAATTACAAGATGTTTCCTTTCTTAAGAACCACCTCCCCTTCTAGCTCAATATCCAACCAAACCCAATCAGTTAATAAAGAAAATATTCAATATGAAACTATTATTTAGAAAATAGGTAACTGCGAAATTCCAAGAGTTCCTCAAAATCAAATATATAAGTCATCAGCATTCCATACTTTGCATTTATATTCCTTTGGTGGATATTTGATCAAAACCAAGGAAAACACAATATCCATCCAAAATCAATATGAAAACATCCAACTCTTAATCCAGACAGATATGTACAGGTCTCATACTATTATATCTAAGACCATACATTGGCATGAAATCCAACTTCCGTACAGATAGAGACTTAAAGGAGTTACAACTCATATTCGCAACCAAAATACGAAAATAAATCATGTAGCTCAATATACAAATGGGTCTGTAAAGCTAGTGTTTAACAAACCACCAAGAGTGCCTCTAAAACAATCTTTCGATATAAGACTGGCTACTGCTTCTATCACAAGTCTGAATATTCTGGAAGATGAATCGTCTACAAAAACTGATTATAGAACAGCTAGAGCCTCCGCTTCTACAGCACCATCCACCATTAGTGCAAATTTACAAAGAATAGACAATTCATCAAGCATACCCCAACCAATATATAACATGCAAGAACCTAGCCCAACTAACTCTCATAACATGTCTCCAACATAGTTATCAATGACCAATAATTCAAACATAACCACAGCTCTTGAAGAAAATTGTAAAATTTTTGTAATACAAAGAGAATTTAAAATCAATAAAGAATGGTGTGAAAAGCATTTCTACTTTAAGAAAAATAAGCAAAAAAGAGAAAACTATTTAGAAACCTATAAAAATGAAAAAGATCAAATTCTACAAGAATATTATGATTTTGTGGAGAACCATAAGATTTTAATAGAATTCTTTACATGGTTTGAAGAATATTACTTAGGATCAGTAAATATTACAAAAAATATAGTCAAATAGCAAACAACTAGAGGAGAAATTGAATCTCAACATCTCCCTTTAATAAAAATTTAGTATTTTCACAAGAATATAGGATTGAGGGCAACTCTATTAAGGATGAGATCTTCAGACTTAGGAGAACAAGTTTCCTCAAGAGACATTACAATGATAATCGAACAAAACAACTGTGCAAATCTAAATTTACATATCATCACAAAACAACTGAAAAATATAGAAACATTAATTAAAAATCCACCTAAATTTATTCAAATTACATAAGTCATTAAGACACAAAACCAATTTTCAAACCTTTTGAAATTCCAAAAAAAATTCACCAATCACATCAAAATCAATTTTCAAGAGAAAGTTAAAATAGAATTGATGCCCTAGAAACCGAACTTTAGGAATGATAGCTCCTGATACTCCTCTACAACAAAGCCATTCAGTAAATATGATAAACCATCAAACATATTTAGAAGACACTAATGATCAATAGATTAACAAAATGATTTGGAAGGACCAAAAAAGCTTTACTATCCTAAAATTACAACACCCAATTTAAACATAGAAGAAAAACCCATTTTCCAAAATAAGTATAATGCTAACACAATTTATAAATGGAATATTAATAGAATGTCTGAATACAACATCCTCAGTACTCTTCAACAAATGACAATGGTATCAAATGTATACAAAACACAAAATCAAACACGCCAAATTACAAATCATTCCATAGCAAACCTTTTAGTTGTCGGTTTCACTGGACAACTTAAAAGATGGTGGGACAATTATCTTACCATAGAATAACAATAAGAAATATTAAAAGCTATAAAAAAAGGGGGATGAAGGAAACAATATTTTAGATGAATAGGGAAGAGAAATCCAAGATGCTATTGCAACCCTCATCTTTTCAATCTCAAAACACTTTCCAAGTGACCCTTCACACCTTAAAAATAAAAACACAAAATTATTGTCAAAATCTAATCTCACTTTCTCCAATGATCCTGCTAGTACCTTTCGTGATTTATTAGAGAATTAAGTTGACTTGTATGAAATGATTTAAAATATTGACATAAATTTAACATAGGATACCCTGGTCTAACTCATAAATTTCTTGATCAAATTTTTTTCTAGAGACCCTGGTATCAAATGCAGAATAGCTGGTCACATTCCAAAATTTTACAAAATTAAAAAAAAAAATCAACGAACTTCACTTGAATGAAAACATTGAACAAAAATTAATGAAATCCTATTAGAATCAACAACATCGTACTATGAGACATCCGACAACAAGGAATCTATAAGTGAATTCCAAATAGATGAAATATAAACTGCATCTCAATCTTCAACAGATAATGAACAACAAATTAATTTCTTAACCAAAGATCAAGAACTTATGATTGAAGTCATTGATAAAATCCAAGACCCAACACTCAAAACAGAATACCTTGAGAAATTAAAAACTCTAATGAAAAAAAAACAGAAAAACCCATAATTACAAATCAAGAACACATGTATAATATAAAAGATATCATATTAGACAGATATGAATTCTCTTAACCTAGATAAATAACAAATGTAGAGTTACAGACAGAAATAAAAGTGGAAATCTCCAAACGCAAATGCAAACAAAGAGAAACAAAAAACCAAATAGAATTCTTACAAAGTTGTTGTTCTGTGATAAGATAATTGTCTCATTATCCTTTAAGTTGTCCAGTGAAATTGGCAACTAAAAGGTTTGGAATGATCTGTAATTTGGCCTATTTGATTTTGTTTTTTGTATACATTTGGTACCATAGTCATTTATTGAAAGGTACTGAGGATGTTGTATTCAAACATTCCATTCGTAAATTGTGGTACTCAAGATCAATAAAAACTAAATATATATATATATATATATATATCCTCTTTGGTTTTATATTGTAGAATCAACTTGCATTGTATAATTAAAATGAATATTTTACTTATCTCATATTTCAAACCGATCTTATCTAGAGGGATCGAAAATAATATAGCATGTGTTCTTTAATTTTTTTAATGTTTCTTTTTCTAATTAAAACCGTTGTTTTTTTTTCTTCTTTTCAAACTTTATTTTAATTCCATTGTTCTTCTTCCACTCATATTGAAATCAAGATTTGATAAGTACTATTATAATAAAAAATCAAGACAAGGATGTCATTGTTGTATATAGTGGACTCTAGACCAATGTACAAGTTTGGTAAATGCGCACATAAAAAGGAACATATTGTATAACATATAGTCCACCTCTATGGATTTCCGATTGTATCAGCATATTGATTTTTTTACCCCTATAAAAAAAATTCGTAAAAGTTGGCTGTAAATTGTTCATATCAATTTAATATACTCCTTACAACTCGAGATCTCTATCACTAAAGATGCTGACAAAGAAGTGATAAAACTCGATTCATATGTCACTGAAAATTAAATCTAATATTAAATGTTAATTTAATTGGATTTAATTAAGCTATGATCAATACAATTAACATTTATTAACTTTTGTTGAATTTGTATATAAAATTGTTGTTTTAACCGCTGTTGACGATCAACATGGTATCATAGTAGCCATTATT